ATTGTATCAAATGTAATATTATTTATTTCACAAATGAAATTTAAGAATGTTAATTGCATCATAACAAAGTATAGAGTATTCTGAATTATGTAATTATTATTTCAATAAATTTATATTTGTAAAAAACACAATCGTCAATCACGGTGCGAAAATAGTTTTTTATATAAAGTTTAGCGTATATATATTACATATGCAAGTTTGAGCATTTATGTCATACAACATTAAAGTTTGCGGTATTTATATTATTGTTCCAAATTATTTTAGAGATGCCCATGTTGCGAGTTGCAACTGCATTTTTACAAATTGATTTTTATTTTTCGTTGGCTCTCTACTAAATACTCCGTATAATACTTATTAGTTTTACCGTGCCTGTGAAGATAATTACATACATGTCCTAGACTTGCTCTGAAAGTTGTGTAGGTCGGCACTGATTCGTGTTTGTAGTAAGAGTATGTTTGACACAACTAGTTTAAAAGATACTTTTATGAGTTTTTTAGTAACTGTTAGTTTTTAGTGACTGAAAAAATCTTAAAAAGAAAAGGCAGTAGTTGTTTGGTAAAAAGCTGACTGTTTGATTTAGCTCTGTTTGGTATACAAGCTGTTAAGACTAATTAATGCTAGAAGCTACAGACTTATCTGAGATGCTACTCACTGTAGCATCTCAAAAAAGATCTTTTATTTTTATAAAAGCTCTTAAAAATTGGCGTGCCAAACACAACTAGAAGCTTTTAAAGACTTTTTAAATAATACAAAAGCTAGAAGGCAGGAACTTATGTCTGCCAAACAGAGCCTAAGACTGACCGCAATCTAGCTCCGTCAATAAATCAAATTCTCCATCAATTTATATGTATTCACTCAATCACTTCAGTTTTTACTGTAATCCAGCAATGTCAATATATTAACCATTTTTCTTTTTTAAATTAAAATCTTGCTTTTATAACTATACATCGATATTTTAAATTTATTTTTTGAATAATTATTATTTATGAGTCAAATATTTCAGTTTAAAATCATAAATTTGGGATTTTTTATTCAAAAAAGGTGAAAGATGCAAAACAAAAACAAATTGAGTTCATGATATATTTTTGTAAATATTGGAGTATAAATAAAAAAAGTTACTCCCTCCGCCCTGTTGGAATGTTCCCGGTTTGACCTACACACATATTAAGGAAACAAACTTACCATAGGGTAAATTTTATTGTTTTGACACTGTTTCGACATTGTTTGGCACTGTTTCGACACTGTTTGACACTGTTTTGCACCGTTTGACCCTGTTTTGATATAGGATAACTTTCCATTTAGGAAAATGGGAACTTTCCAACGGGACATCCAAAAAAGGAAAGCGGGAACATTCCAACGGGACGGAGGGAGTATTACACTTCAAACAAATTTGGGATTTAAATTTTAGATAGTCCCACTGCTTATTCCTTGCTACGACCAACTACAAGATGTTGTTTTACATTGCTTTAGGCTATGTTTGGCACAACGAGCTGGAGCTGAAGACTAATGTCTGAATTAGAGGCTTTTGTCTGAATCAAAGGCTATTATCTGGAGCTGAACATTGAAGTGCTGAATCTGAACTGCTATCTAAATGAAGCAGATCCGTTTGACAAAAAGAGCTGAAAAATGCACAAATAATATGAAATTACATTAAAGGGCATTTAGTTATTAACACAAGAAAATATTTATTGTAATCCTTTTTACGTAGTACGTATATTTTAATAAATACAAAAGGTTAGTGTATGCTCCGTGTAAAAAAGTATTTCAAAGTGCAACAGCACATGATTTACCCTTTGCGTTCTAAAAAGAATTTCTTTTAATAAGTTTAGAAGAATAATGATCCAAAATTCCTCAAACATTTTGGAATCTAAATGACACTATTCATGAGTTTAGCATGACAAAAAATATACAGTATTTCTTTTCAAGTGCACAACAAGATCAACTTAGGTGTCAAATTTCCGGTGCAAGGTTCACTTGACACAAATGCACTCAAAATTAATGACATAATTATTTCAATGTTCATACCTATCTAATTTTTCTGATCAGTGTAAAAAATAATTAGGATGGGTCTGGCATCAGTAATGCCGCTTCTCCCACCAAAATACACTAGGAAGGTATTAATATCATCAATGGAACACTTCTGAGTTCTAACCAGATGGTCTGCGTAAATCAATCATTTATCAGAACAATAAAGTAGAAACCCAGAAAACTACCAAATTTTTCGCAAATCATCAAGAGAAGAAACTAGGAGAAGAAGAGCCTGCTCGGAGATGGATGGTCAACCACAGAGAAGAAACCAATAGACGAAGAATCTGCTACGAAGAGATTATCAGCCTAGAAAAACCGGGAGAAGACGAGCCTGGTTGGAAGAGATGATTAACAGAGAAGAAAGAACAATTAACTGGAGACAGAATAACGATACGAATAGGGATACTTATTATTGTGGAACGTAAGTTAATTATTCAAGCGGTTGAATACAAATGTTAGGGAGGATAACGTAGTGATTCAGCCCATCTTTTTCAGATTAAGCTATGTTTAGCCCTCTATCCAAACAGGGCTACTTTTACATTCATTGACTGAACTTAAAGAATTTAAGCCCATTATGAACTGAAAGCTCATGGCAAACACAACCTTATTCAACCCTGGTTGAATATTTTGATAGATATATAAATATATAATACTCCATATGATAAGATCATTCGTAATAACAATGATGTTATAGTTGTTAATTATTCCCTAAAATATAAATGAAACTGACCGGTACGTTCAAAGAAGAAAAGTAGAAAGTTTAAGCAGCGAGGAAGGAAATATTTATTATATACCGGACAATAAATTACAAATAAAATCGACACGGGGTAGCATATTATACTTCCTCCATTCTTTAATAATTGCAATATTCTAAATTTTGTACTATTCACACACCCGATAATAATTTTATACTAACATATATATGGTGCGGATGAAATAGAAACCACTCCTACAAATCATTAACTTTTTTCCGAGTGTGATGCACTATTAGGTTTCTCTAGTTGCACTTTTCATATTTACAGAAAAACTTTGAATTATTTACGAAAATGTCACCGCATTTTTTTAGTTGACATGACTCGGCCAAAGTTCAAAAACTGCAACAAACGGTATTTCAAAACATTAATTTTTTATATTATTTATGAGAGAATTCCCTAAATAGGACCATAAGAAGGTGAAAATGCAAAAACAAGACATAATGTTTTAAATTCCCTAAATAGGACTAAAGATTACACTTTTACCCCTGATTAACCTATCCCTGTTGTGCGCCTTTCTCCTCTGCCCTCAACAATTGATCGCCGCCATTATCCGAGTTCACATCCATCGACCAGGATACCTTCCTCTACCATGGCTGCAGTTCTGCATTGACCGGCGCCGCCGCAGCTCCGCCATCGACGACTCCCCTAATTTCTCCAGCCAAGTTAGGTATGTATTCTCCTCCTCCTCCTCCTCCTCCTCCTCCTCCTCCTCCTCCCCCTCCTCCTCCTCTTTCTCATAATCTCTTCCTCTTCAATTTTCTGGTACTCTGTTATCTTGTTCTTTGGGTTTCAATTTTATTTATAAAGCAAGAATATGAGAATGCCATAAAATTATCAGTAATTCGAAGACTGTCATTTATATGATTTACATCTATGAAGATGACAGTTTTACTTTGAAATTATAAAACTTTGAAAAAATGACATTATTGATGTTTAATTCAACACTAATTTGTAATAATGTCACTTTTATGACATTACATTTGCCAAGGTGACAGTTCAAAGAAGAAAATGACACATCCAAAGAGTAATAATGTCATTCGAATGACACTTTCGAAACAAAAATGACATATTTAAAATGTCAGTTTTTTGAGTAACAATGTCAGTCTCATGACATACCGTCATCTTGATAAATGTAATATCGTAAAAGTTACAAATTTTTCTAATCGCTTATAATTTATGGCATTTTGAGGTTCCAAATTAATCAAAATAGATAAATAAATAAATAATTGAAATCTAAAGAAGAAGAAAACAGAGGAACCAAATAAAACTCAAATCCAAAAGATCCAAAGAAGAAGAGAATAGAGGACCAGAAAATTGAAGAGGATTAGAAGAAGCAGAAGAAGCAGAAGAGGAGGAGGAGGAGGAGGAGGAGGAGGAGGAGGAGGAAGAAGAAGAAGAAGACCTACCTGATCGTCGATGAGTGCAGAGCTACCGTCGACGGCGGAACTGCGATGCGACGACACAGTCGATGGCGGAGCAGCCTTCCATGGGAGCAAGAGATGTTCTGTGATGAATTGCAGAGTCGGCGGAGTGATGCGATGAATTGCAGGGGCTTAATTAAATCAGGGGTAAAAATGTAATCTTTAGTCCTATTTAGGGAATAATAAACTTAAAGTCCTATTGTGAAATTTAGACAATGTTTTAGTCCCATTTAGAGCAATTAGTTCTTTCATTATTTATTAATATGTAATTAGATTTGACTACAGTCAAAATTGTGTGTTAGCAAACATAAAAAAGCGTAAAAATCAAATTGTTGCAATATAAAAAGAATGATAGTAGTATACAATAATTATTGAAATGCATCTTATCATATAGGGAGTATCATTTTAAAACCCGCTCTACAGGGGTTACGAGACATCTACATAGTACCTCATAATATTATGGACTTGTTTGGTAATTTGCACAATAATATTTTCTATACAAAACTAATAGAGTTTTCCCGAACAAAAATATGACTAGTTATGTTTTGAACAAAAATATGACTAAGCACCGTGTACGAGTCATTATGAACTAGTCATTAGAGTGTATTTTAGAATAACACGTCATTGTAAATGACGAGTCATAGTGTTTTGAAAATTATAAAATAATTTTTTTATCTTTTGAATTTAATCTAGAAATATTCGTGTGAAAAGGTCAAGTCTAGATACTCCTATTAATTATTTAACTTTGATATAAAATAAATAAATAATTTGCACGTAAAGTAAATATAGGTTTAATTTATTGTTTAGTCCTTTGAATCCCTAACTTTACCTTTATTTACAGGCAACCAAACTGCCTCAGCCCACGGGCCACGGGCGGCGCCGAATATCGAGCAAACAAAATGATGGTTGGAGACGAAGGAAAACTGGCAGAAGAGGATGTCGGTGAAGAAGAACAGATTGTGGACGAGATGGGACTGTACAAAGGGAAGGTGAGGATAGTGAACAGTGAAGAGCCAGCAGAGGAGATGATGCTGCTATGGGGATTACAACAGCCAACTCTCTCAAAGCCCAACTCTTTCGCCAAACAGTCCTCCCTCCAGCTCCTCCTTGACTCATGTGGCCGCTCTCTATCGATTCTTCAGTGCCCTTCTTCTTTGGTATGCATTCTTCCTTTCTTAAAAATATTGGAGCGTGTGATACTAAAGCCAGTCCATTGGTTTGCCATTAAGATTTGATTATTGTTTCTATATGAAATGTTGGAGCGTGTAATCCTTAATTTAAAAAGCGTTAGTTACATGCTCATTTCACTCTATTTCCTATACTTATCACTTAATTCTCGAAATGAGGCACAAAAAGCAATATCATCCCCAGAATTTTACCTCAATCAGCCATAATTTGGCATGTACGGAGTTTATGTAAGAATGTAATTTAATAATTTGTCGTGCTTTTGATCTATTATTTTTTTTTACTCCACATATTATGCAAACCAGAAAAGTTGATGAACTTGCTAGAAAGAACGTGGGAGTGTTTTATCAAATTATTTGTTGTGATGTACACGTTTGCATAGCATGTAGAGTATTAGAACCAGTAAATCTATTCTTTCTTTTTTAACTTTATGAGTTTAACCGGATTTATCTGTTCATTGATTGCAATGATCAATGTATTTTGTATGGAGTATTTTTTATACTTCTTTTAGACTTCAGAGTAGCAGTTCTTTGGAAATACCTTGTATTTCATCAAAGCCACTCCATGAGTTGTCCCTGGTGTTCTCGAGCTGATATGTTCCTCTTTTCGCTGAGGCAGAGTTTAGTGATGCAAAGTTTTATTTGGTTTCTCTTCATTTTTGTTCACATTGCTTTTATATGGTTTTATTTTACTAAAAATAACAGGGGTTATTAACTTAATGTTTTTATCCCATGTTCCCACCAAACACACACACACATGGTGTTCTGAAGCCTCTATTGGTGATTGCAAAATTTCTTCTGCCTCTAACGTATATGTTGCAAAATGCCTATTAAAGTCGTACTCCGTAATATTGTTATCACATTTTAGTAGTATTATATATTTTCAGTTATAATGTACAACCTCTGTCCCCCAAATAAATTCCCAATTTGACTTTTCAGTCAAACTTTATAAACCTTGACCATTGATTACTCAAATTTTACTTTACTTTATCACACAAAATTAATTTCATATACTTCATTGCAATATACTACGTATTATTCAAATGTTAATTTATTATAGATTTATGAGTAGATATTTTTAGATATTCAGGCTCAAACTTCCACCTAAAAGACCGTAAAAGTCAAACTGGGAATTTAATTGTGGAATAGAGGGAGTAATGGTCATAGTTTTAGTAGTATATATGGTTTCCTATGACTGGCAGGTTTGCTTCTCTTTAAACAAGCATTATAATAGTGTTTAGCATAGTTGTCATGGCGCATGGAGATCGCCATGGCTCTAAGGAAATTTTCACGGCGCTATGGTGAGGACCACTTTTTCATGGCGATGGCACATATGGCGCGCGCCATATCTCGCCATTGACTACTATGGTGTTAGAAATTATGAAGTGGTAAGTTCAGAGTTACACACCCTCTGTCCCCCAATGAAGTTTCTTGCTTTTTTACTTCACAAACTTTTAGGCAAGAAAACTTCTTTGTGTTGACTTTTCAAATAAGCCCTTATTAAAGATGTCACGGAGAAAATGAGTAATAAATGATGTACTTTTCATAGGGGTAATGAATTCTTTGACCGCACAAATCTTACCAAAATGGGAATTGAAAACTTAGTTTAGGACAGAGGGAGTATATCAATAAAAGTAGTTAACATTGCTCATCAATGAAGCATGAATAAAATCCTCATGGGGTTACACAAAAAGCTCAACATGTCTTCACAAGTTAAGATGATCCTTTAAGCATATTGAGATCATCCAGAGAGTTCTGCAGGTTATGGCATACTACTGTGGTACCAAGTCATCGACAATACATATTTTAGTTCATATTAATTTTATGGGCTGTTGGGTAGGTTAGGGTTGATTGTGTTTTGTAGTACTTAGTATATGTGTTCTCAAGCTCCCTCTTTCATACACAATATTAACATCATTGTATTAAAATTAGTAATATAGTCAAATCTCAAGGGGTCAATTACATGTATTTACTTTTTCAACCTTTTCAACTTTAGGGAATTTCTTGTCTGGTTCATTGTGATGAGACTGTCCCTAAAATCATTCTATCCCACGCAGTCACACTGTATTTATATTTTTATTACAATGGCAATCACTAATATCTAGAATAATCAACTATATAGATACACATCTTATTATAGGGAACTCCTGGAGTAACTGGTTCAGTAATGTGGGACAGTGGGGTTGTTCTTGGAAAATTCATAGAGCATGCTGTGGAATCAGGAGAAATTTCGCTACATGGGAAGAAAGTTGTTGAATTAGGCTCTGGCTGTGGATTAGTGGGGTAATCAATATTGGTGTTACTTAAGATTTTGTCATTTACTGCTGATGCTGCTTTCATCATTATCAGTAAAGAAAATCTAATACAGCATATTGACATTGAAAAGCCATTAAAAGTTAGCCGGATATTCCATTGTAGAGATTTTTTCGACCAGACTAAACTTCATTTTGTACATAAAAATAATGCCATTCTCACTTTTTATCATCTCCAGGTGCATTGCTGCTCTTTTGGGTGCTCAGGTTATTCTTACTGATCTCCCTGATAGATTGAGGTTACTGAAGAAAAATGTTGCAGCGAATTTGTATGGAGATGTAAAAGGTTCTGCAACAGTGAGTGAGCTTACATGGGGAGATGAACTCGAACCTGTTCTACACGATCCATCCCCTGATTATGGTAAGATGCGTAAGCTTTCTTCAAATCTGCAATACCTTGATGATTCAGTTTCTTGTTCATCAGCACATGCCAGATAAAAGAAGCATCAATGATGCATACTTTACAACCTTTTATGTCATGTAGTACTTTACATGATTATCGTAAGATGAGCAACCTTTATTTAAATACTTAAATACCTTGAAAATTTAATTACATATTCATCAATATCCTCCGGATAAAAATCATACATGGTACCTATTTCATGATTGTACTTCTTTTGTTTGTGTTTCCTCTTCTGCCCATTGTTATGTGAATATGTGTCTCATTAGATGAAAAGCGTACCAGGAAAATACTTTATTATTCATGTTTTTCTTGAACTACAGAAATATGGATGCATCCACCATTTGTCGAAAACCAGAGAATATTCTACCTCAAACCTGTCAATGCACTATTTGCACCTTGTCAACATTGTTTATATAACTATACGATAAAGTTTGTATTTTTTTTTATATTCAGTCACACTTTTTATCAAAAACCAATGAACCATATTGAGAATAGTGCAAAGATTTTCCCCTATCCCCAGTGATGTCACATCAATTAGTCACAGGCGCAGTAGATAGTTAGATACCCATAGGTGTGCCTTATGCCTTGCCTTTTGCCGCTTTCTGCGCTTGTGGGAGGCGTTTGCATCTGGCAGCTCTCTGGGTGTCAACTATCTTTCCTAAGAGACCTTTGGCGATTCACATGCCTAGTTCCAGAAATTTTGCATGTGTTATGTATTGATCGTGTAAGTCTTCTCTCTATTCTTCCGCCTGCCTCTGCATATGCTTCTGCTTCTCTCTATTCTTCCGCCTCCCTCACGTCCTCACTCCTTTTACTACGTCTTCTCCTCCAATAGTGAATTGTCCATTATGCCTAAAGTTCAGTTGGTAGTTTGGCATTTAATATGTTTGTTGCTACTGTTTGAATAAATATTTTGTTTCTCTTAAGGTGTTTATATGACAAAGGAAATACCAGTCATTGGTTGTGACTTATTGACTTCAATGGACATGTAAGAGTTTGTCACAACAGATTTGAGATTGAAAATGAAATATTTGAGTACAACGACAACAACAACATTACCCCAGTGCTGCAAAGGCTCCCTCCTACGGAGGGGTGGGGGGGTCAGATGTACGCAGCCTTACCCCTATACTAAAGCATATGGAGAAAACATATGTCTATAATGAAAATCGCCTCAAAAATTGTATGGACCGACTGCTGCTTCATAACAAGGAAGCGCTAACATTTTAGTGAGTCATTTTGCTTTATCCCATCATATTCCCAAGCCAAAATATAGTGAGTTTTTGGCTCCATTGGAAATGATGGGAAATGAAATATTTGAGTATGACAGTAAAAAATGAATTGGGCATTCTTTTATGTTTCTAATGATAGACAACACGATTTAAAAAATATGTAAACTCATCAGGAAAATGTACAAGTGGTACAATATGGGGGTGCACATTTCAGTTTAGTTTGACCAAACCAAACTGAAGCATATGCAATTTGGTTTGTATTTGGTAATATTTCTTCCAAACCGTATTATACTTAACAGAAAGCGTAAAAATAAATAAAACCATATGTAATTAAATAATTCTATAAAACCATAATATGCTTAAAAATAACATATCCAAAACAAAACAAAACAAACTAAAACATAATATAGTCATTATTTGGTATTCGTTCTCCCAATCCTATTCAAGCCAAAAACCAAAATGCCCACCCGTAGTACAAATGACATATTGATTTTCTTGGTCAGACATAAGAAATTGTATTGACTGTAATGTTATCATCAGAGAGAATGAAGCTGCTCAGTGCGTAATGAACCACACACGAGCTTCTTCAGAAATGAGGGAGTGGTACTTAAGTCAATACCTAAAGTTAGCTTTTGGGCCGAGACAGGGGACTTTACATGGTATTTTGAAACCCCTGAAACCAAAAACCAATGTAAAAAAAAAAAACTATTTTGCACTAGTGCCTATTTTATATGAAGGAGTTTCCAACGTGATTTATCAATTGAACCTATATAGAATATACCTTGATTGGTGCGATAAGTATGGCCATACTTGATGTCTGGGGACTTATCTCCTTATTTATACTCCCTCGGTTCTTTTTTAATTGCAACATTCCATTTTCACGTTTGTCAACGCACAACTTTGGCCGTCATTTTATTTAATTATGTATTAGTAAAAAATAATTATAAATCATATTATGAAACTTAATAATGAGATGAATTTAACAATATTTTTCGAAAAAAATATTTCACATTCATTAATAAATAAAACGTGGTCAAAGTAGAATATAAGAATAGTATATAAATTGCAATGTTGCAACTAATACGATATGGAGGATAGTATCATGTTTTCTCTTCTCTAGATGAAAAAGGCACTACCTTTATATATTCCAATCTCTCTCATCGTTGCAGTTTTGGGGTCGGATGTCATTTACAGTGAAGGAGCAGTGGTAGATTTGCTGGAAACACTTATAGACCTCTGTGGCTCTGAAACAACAATTGTTTTAGCTGGTGAACTTAGAAATGGTATTACTAATAAACATATGTGACTTATATATGTAGTATTTTAGTTACTATTCATTATTTTCATATTCTTCTTGTTATACCAGATGCCATCCTTGAATACTTCTTGGAAGCAGTCTCAGAGGAGTTCATTGTGGGACGTGTTGATCAGATGCAGTGGCATCCAGATTTCCTCAGCCCGCGCGTTGTGATTTACATTTTAGTGAAGAAGTAGAAATGCAGAAGGGTATACGCTGCCTTGCTTGAATCTATTTAAGCTGTTCTCAGCCATTCAATGGATTACTAATATTGTCTAGGCACACTGCCATATGGCAGGGAATCTGCTTCTGATGTATTCACAGTTGTAATTTTGCCTGACACTTCAATCTTTCTTTGACATGGCTTGAGTTGTAATTGTTTCCTTTATAATGGACAAAGTCTTCATGCTTTGTGTTGTTTTGAATGCAAAAGTTATGACCCTATTTATGCTTTTATGTCTTCATTTGTTTCCCATTTCCTTCCTGAGTCTAGTGGGATATGTTGCAGGCATGAGTGCTAACCTGCTATGGGATCGTGACTGTTGGATTGAGATTGAAGGGTTCATAAATCATAAGAAGTGGAAGTATGCTAGTGGGAAAATGGCCATTGATATCGTATTATACATCCCATAAAGCCAAGGGGACCGTGATACGTAGTAGGGGTGGACTCGGGCCGGGCCAACCGGCCCGGAACCGGACCGACCTGGTGAACCGGTTGGTGCCCGGTTCGGGCCACCCGGCCCGGTGAGGTAGGCGGGCCGGGCCTCCAAATTATTTATTTTTTCTTTTTTTTTGATTTTTTTTTAAGTTTTTGGGTTGGGCTGGGTATGATGGGCCATTTGAGGTGGTTTGGGGTGGTTTGGGGGTGAGGGTGACGGTTGGGGGTTAATTAGGAAAAGCCAAAAAAAAAAAATATAAGAACCGAGGCCCGGACCCGGGATTACCCGGGCCGGTTCGGGGCCTCCCTTTCATGATACGTAGTAGTGTGCGTTGGGAAAAAAGCTCTCGCTTCTCACTTGGAAAATACACCTAATGGTTATCTTCCTGGGTTGCGCATATTCTCGCTCGATCTTAGCTCACAATGTCACAATCGACTTCATCAATCTTTGATTTTCTTACGTTTCTAAGCTCGGAATCTGATAATCTATCTTATCTACATACTGATTCATATAGATTTGAAATTTTTTGAGCTAAAACGTAAGATTTTTCAAAAATAATTTCGTAGTTTCACTGTTCAACAACGAACTACAAATCTGAACTTTGATTCATCATACGACGATTGTTTCTGGGAAAGGAGGACTCTTTGGGGGTCGCCATCCCTTGGTGCACCTCCACGTGCTGTTTTCCGGCCACCACAGCTCCGCCGTACTTGAGCTAAGAAAGATTCGTTACGCAGGTGCACAGTTCATTGTCAAGCGTTGACTTTAGATTTCTCTTTAATCTATTGTTCAATTCCAATTCTGAGCATTTCCTGAGGATCATCTGGTCCAGACGAGCATTTTCGTACCTGTTTCGACCAAAACTAGCAAGTATTCTGGTTTTTCTCAAATTCTTGGTACTGTTGCTATTTTGTGCGCATGTCTGTTTTCTTCTGAGATTTTTTCTGAGCTCCACACCTGTTGATTTTGAGTAATAATTATTCCATTGTGATGACATATACTTGGAGAACATCTGCATATTTTTTCAGATTTTTCTGAGCAATTCCAAAAAACCCGGGTACTGTTCATCTCCTTCTTCCCTGGAAGGTAGATTGCTTCAGTATTTCCTGCACTGATAGTACTAGTTAGAAATTTTTTCTAGCTTCATTACTACCAAGTTCTTGGAATTGTTTGTACCATTGTATTCAGTATGTATTGGTGTATCACTAACACTTTTTTGAGAATTTTTGGTGCATATTTTGTGTGGAAAATGTTTTGGTCTTTGCTTTTCTTCTAAGGTATGACTAGGAAAAACAAGCAAAACCGGACCCCACCTCTGAAGGACAGGCAGTTTGATGAAAAAGTCAAGAACCTCCTTGCCAAAAAAGCTGCTATGGAACAAGCAAAGGTGAAAGAGAAAACTCCATTGAAGGAGGTGCTACCTTTTCCGGACCCTATTTTCTCTAACTCCACTGGAGCTTTTGCCGCGGCACAAAAGAATGACATGGGTTCTACTGTTAATGCCGTAGCATTAAATGAAGCTGGGGGACAGGGCATCAAGGCCGCGGCATCCACTAAGCCTGTGGCATCCCAGGGCTCTTGTACAAAAGCGGTGCTAGAGTTGGATTCCATCTCCTCAAAGGCTGTGACTTCCCCTGAGATCTCACTTGCACTGAAACCAGCCTCTAAAGGTGATGCTCCCATTATTGAGGATGAAAATGATGATGAGAGCATTGATGAACCCGAGAGGTCTATCTCTCTTGGGTCCCAAGACACGGAGTCTTTGAAGAGTGTTGATGATTTTGAAGCAGAACCTAAGCAGTATGCTTCTTTATTTTGTGATAACCGAGCTCCTTCTAAAGGGCTCAAGCTTGAGTAGTTTCCTCCCTCCGGGGAAAAACTGGATTTCTCTCACCTTAAGGTACCTACCCTTATTGAAATCTGGGGCTTTTTTTTGGTTGGGCATTTTTCAGGTAGGTTTCCGGGCTTGAAAGCTATCTTTGCCATGACCAAAAAGTGGGGATTGCAAGTGGATGTCAAACCACATAGTAAGGGATGGGTGGTTTTCAAATTCAAGAGTGAAGAAGACCAGGTGAAGGTGCTAACCGAGGGTCCTTATGTACTCTATGGGAAAACCATATTCTTAAAGGCACTTTCCGATGATTTTACATTTGAAAGTGAGGAATTTTTAAAGGTTCCTATTTGGGTAAAGTTCCCAAATTTACACCTAAGGCTTTGGCGAGTTACCGAGATTGGGAAAATAGCTTCTCAAATTAAAGTACCTATCATCACCGATAAGGTTACCCAAGAGATGACTTTTACTAAATATGCACGGGTGCTCATTGAGGTTGATGTCTCTAAACCTCCGGTTCTTAATTTTCCTATTATTCCTCCCTCAGGCAAGGAATATAATCAAAAGGTTTTATATGAGACGTATCCGGAATATTGTTATCATTGCAAGGCCTATGGGCACCATCCTTTTGATTGCAAGGTTCTTAATCCGCACTTGGAAACTCACAAGGTGGCCATAACCAAAGATAAAGGGAAGGTGGTCACGACTATTGACAAAGGGAAGGGTATTGCCGAAGAAAATATTGATCCTCCTTTTAAAGAAGTTATCCGAAAGAAGGGCAAGGCTAATAACAAAGGTAAACAATACATAGCAAAGGAACTTGCTTCAACTTCCAATGCTAAAGGGCCTCAACCGAAGCCTATTGTGGCTAATAAGGGGATTAATATTTCGAAAGATTTATTAATTCCGTCTTTGGGTGATAAGCCGAGACCTAGTGTTAAATATTCAAAAGAGGATGCCAATCTAATGGTGATCACAAAGGATAAATTTGGCAAGGAAGTTTTGGAGCATATGCCACGAGGATATGTGATTAGGAGCATGTACGAGATGGACCCCAAAGACATTGTAACCGGTGTCTTTACGGATGAAAAGGGGAGATGACTTGCTACTATCATTGACCTTGATGAGCTCCCGGATGGAGAGACGATGATTAAAGTAGGGGCAGATCTCAAACATGTGACAAGCGAGGATGCACCGGGGGTTTACTTCACCCATAACGGCATCATGAAGCTCCCTGGGGTTAAGCGCAACCTCACATGGTATGATTTCGATCCTAAAATCTTTATATCTAACGTTCTCTATTTTTTTGATCCGAACAGCAAAGAGAACCAAATTTACAACAAAGAACTGTTGCGGAGAAAGCGTAGAAAAGAGAGAATGGAAGCATCCGCGGGTGCATGACCCACCACGGACCTATATCTTTCTTGATGCCGAAGCTCCTTGTGTGGAATGTTAGAGGTTTAAATAAAATCTCTAAGCACAATTTGATTACTACTTATATTAAATCGAATAATATTTGCTTGGTATGTTTTTTGGAAACTAAAATGAATTTGGTCGCGTTTAATAACTATGTTTTAAATAAATGGCCAGGTTGGATTTTTGAAAATAATTTTGATTTAATAAGTGGGGGGCGCATGGCTATCATGTGGAACCCTAATTTAATAAATTGTGTGGTTTTTGAAAGAGAAGCAACATTTGCATGCTAGGTGTGTTTGTCGTATTACACAAACGTCCTTTTTTGTTACTTTTGTGTATCCGTTATACACGGCACTTGAAAGGAAAGCCCTTTGGGACCATTTGACTTCGGTTGGGAACCAAATAGGGGAACCTTGGATGGTTTGCGGGGATTTCAATTGCATTTGTGAGCCTAACGAGATGGTGGGTCTACCCCCCCTACAGCGTACGTTATGCAACATCTCCTGGATTTCAAAGTCTCGACTAGCCTACTAGATGCACCCTCCACGGGAGAGTTCTTTACTTGGAACAAAGGTGCATTTTGGGCTAAGATAGATCGTGTGTTAATCAATGACGTTTGGGGACTTAATAGCATAGGGTGTATGGCCCATTTCCATGAAATGGAGGTTGAGTTTGACAATACGGCTTCCGTTGTATCAATACTCCTAAATTCCTCTCCAAGGCCCAAATCTTTTATATTTTTTAATATGTGGATTAAACATCACAACTTTGCTAATTTAGTAGCGCATAATTGGAACCAAGTGATTGAAGGTACGACACAATATTCCATGGTGAGGAAATTAAAGTTGCTAAAAAGGCCACTCAAGGACCTCAATGCCAAGGATTTTGGGCATATTTCGAGCAAGGCAAAAGCAGCAAAGGATGATTTTAAAAGAATTCACAAGCTAGTCCTCCAAAATCCGTTGGATGAGGGTCTCCAAAGCCAATTAGCGAAAGCTATCAAGCGGGAAAAATTTCTAAGTGAAGCCGAATGTAGTTTTTTTCAACAAAAGGCTAAGGCAACTCACATCCTAGAGGCGGATAAAGGGACTAGATACTTCCATGCAATTGTTAAGCGGAAGGCGACAAAGAATGCTATCTCGGCTATATCTCTTAAGGATGGTAGCCTCACCACTTCTTTGGAGCAAGTCATTAATGAATTTGTTAATTTTTTTGTTGATTTATTTAGCACCAATGTGGAAACCCGCGCTATAGATCGTATAGTATTGGAATCCGTCCCTAAGATTGAACCATGTGTTCATGATAGCCTCATCGCCCCCGTCGAGACAATAGAGATTAAAAAGGCTCTATTCGATATGGGTGATGATAAGGCACCGGGGCCGGATGGCTACTCTTCCGCCTTTTTAAAGCTAATTGGGATATTGTTGGCAATGACTTAGTTCGGGCCTTAAGGAATTCTTTCGTTCGGGAAAGATACTTAAGCAAATTAACCATACGGTTATTGCACTTATCCGCAACACGACCCATTCTCCTAAGGTCTCGGATTCTAGATCGATTTCTTGTACTAAT